AGCTCTCTAAAGAGTATCTTGTCCATCTGTGTTGCTCTCAACACGTTTGTTTCAAGTCTAGAGTAAGCAGTTAATGAAGGAAATGGGTCAGTTCTGCAGTACCTAAGCTAGTAGTGTATCAAGGGAAAATAAACTTACCTCTGTTCTTTCTGCAGGTAAAAAACTGGGTTAAGGAATTAAGAAAAATGTTGGGAAATGAAATCTGTTTATGTATAGTAGGTAAGTCTTTTTTAACATGTGATTCTAATGACTGAATCAGAAGTGTTTCTTTTGATCAATAGCATCTTCCAAACACTGCTTTGATAGCTTGTACATGTGAAGAGGTAAAGCTTATGTTAATTTTATATTTAAAATTCAGTTGGAGCTAGTTCCAGTAGATCACATTGAGGAAAATAAGAGTTAGTTTCAAAAAAACAAGCTGTTTAATGATATACCATGTCAGAAGTGCATCGTACAGACACCTGCAGACTGTAGTTTAACAAAGAGATAAACCTCAAATGTGTATTATCTTTCTTGCAAGTACTCAAATGTCATGTTTTTTTACTGTTCTCAGTGGCATAGACTGGATGCTTGTCTGTTTTCTTAATCAAGTGCTTGGGGGGTGGAATGAGTCTTAAAGCTTGGATATTTCAATGCAAGCAATGCTACATATGCTGGGTTTAGATTTAAAATCGGATCTAGTGATTAAAACACTTTCATGAGGATATATGTATGGATATTCTACAAAAACTACCTCTGCAGCACAGATAAGCTGCTAATAAACCACAAAAGAAAAGCAGAAGGCTGAGTCGGTGGCTTATATGGAGGTATTTAGCTATCCTTATCTACAGAAGTAGAACTTCATCTTCGTTGCCTGTAAATGCTCGAGTGAAAGGGGATTCTTAAATCATATCGTTGTGCTCCGAATTGAGACCTGTGTAAGAGTTGGTCTTTACTGGGACAGCTTGTAAGAAAATGATGGGGTACAATGATTACATGACTGCTTTCCTTTGGGTAATTTTGGAGTACAAAGACTTGAAAGATTAACTTGTTTCCAACAGGTAACAAAATAGACTTGGAAAAAGAGAGACATGTTTCAGTGCAAGAAGCAGAAACGTAAGTCACACCAATTATTAATAGAAACAGTCATTGCAGAATTATGCTGGAGTAATAAACTTGTGATGCTGTTAACAACTGGCAGGCATAAACCAGCAGTGCCTAGCTGGCTGCTGTGTTATGTGTTCTGTTAGTATCTGAGTTCTGGAATGTCCTTACTGACCAAAGTGTAACTTGAGAGTTGTACATGATTAAAGTGAACATTTGCAGTTTAAATGCACTTCTAGACATGAGATTTTCTTTAATAGTGTTTTTCATTCATCATGACAGTTCTAACCACATAATTCCCTTTTTACATTAAATCAGCATGTGTAGATTAACTCCAAACTCAGAATAAAACCTCTTGTGATCATCTTTTTGCTTTATGTAAAGTGGCTTAGAAAGATTGAGTCCTTTAGTACAATGAAGTTCTGTATTTGCATTCCTACAGGTATGCTGAATCTGTTGGAGCAAAACATTATCATACTTCAGCTAAACAGAACAAAGGAATTGAAGAACTGTTTCTTGACCTTTGTAAAAGTAGGTATTCTCTAGTCTGTTGGTAAAGAGCTCATTCACAAAATGCTCAAGGCTTCAGAATGCTTAAAACCATATAGAAAAGCCTTAATGTAAACTATTACTAAGAACGGACTTCATCTGAGTCTACTTCAAGCCACTTGTGTATTGTAACAGCTATGGAAGCTTGACGTATGGATGCTTACAATATTGCAAATTCATGCTGTACTCCAAAAATGTCTTGTCACTTGTTGGAGCACTGACTGCTGTTTCAGTCAGCATGCGTAAATAGTAACCTCAAATCAAACTTCAAGTGACTGGTCTCACTGTTGCCTGCTTCAAGCCCTCTGTTCCAACCTCTTTCAAAACTTCTCAAACAATGTAAATAACAAATCATAAACTTGAAGTTGTAATGATGCAGATTTTACACAGCAGTCTAAGCAAATGGTAAAGATCACGGAATGTAGGATAAAAATGTTGCAACACAGGGAACTTGTCCTGTTCATTGTGTTTTTATGATAAAGGATTTAAGCAAAACCCCAACCGACTCTTCAGACACACAGGTGGGGTTTTTTTTGGGGGGGTGAGGTGGTATGTGTGGTGTGTGGGGTTTCTTGTTTGTTTTCTCTTTTGACAGAATGTTCTTCATATGGGTGGGTAAGTCTAGCTTTTGAAGTCACTAACTCCAGAACATCTGAGCATCTAAGGTCTCCCTTAGTGAATAGGAGCTGCTGGATTTTTGGTGCTTTGGGAAGAAGACTTAAGTATGTTCTTGCAGCTACACCATGTGATACCTGAGTACTTACTTGTGCGTAATAAATAGGAGAACCAGTCTTGCTGAACTTTGTGCACGTAACTCAAATAGATTAAGATCTCAAAGTCTTGTGTAAAAATGCAGTGGAATATAATCTAATACATTTCTTCCTTTACAGGAATGATAGAAACTGCTCAAGTGGATGAAAGAGCAAGAGGCAATGGTTCCAGTCAGTCAGGAATAGCAAGGCGAGGTGTACAGATTATTGATGATGAGCCACAAGTACAGAGCAGTGGAGGGTGCTGTTCTTCTGGATAATTATAAAACTGTGCATCACTGCCCTCTCAATATGAAGACTGCCATATTCCAAGTCACGCATTCTTTACCAATGGAGTAATAGAATTAACAGTATTTAAAAGTAATCACATGTAACACTGCAGAGACCTTAAGTGCTAAACTAGTGGCGTCTGTGACCAGAGAATTGGCATTTTCTACCGTGGTTAACAAAGCAATTACCAATGGCCTTTTTACATATTTTTCTTTAATGAGGAATAATATGCATGTAGAAAAGACCTACTTAAAGGCTTCATTTATATTCTTTTAAATCAGATCATTATTTAATAACTTATATACATTGTTGTTGGAATGGTATATGTTTTTGCAGCTCTTTGTATTTTGTGGTAGGTTGAATTGTATCACTTCTAAAATGCAAATTGATTTTTTTTTTAAATTAGCAGATATCTGAAGTAATATTTTTGCAGGGCCTCCACAAGCCTATAACTGTCAACTACTTTGATATATTCTGTTCATCCTGTATGCCAAGCTGGTAAAATACATTGTAAATTACATTAAATATTTTATCTGCTTTTACAATTGCAGGTGCAGAAATATGTACATCAGTCTTGTCAGTGGTTGTGAAGTGAATAAGTCAGTGAAAGATGCAAGCTTTTCACGTGTACTGTTGAATTGCTCATTCTATTCCCCCTACCTGAAAACGGCTTTTTTTGCTACATTCATAGCTACAGCATTTATTTAAGCCTTTTCTGGCAAGCAGCAGTATTTAGGCTATCCCTTTAGTGGGAAGAGAATGCTTCCTTAGACTGCTGTTTAACATCGAGGTGTTTGACTCCCAGCTAAAACAGTTGGCGCATGCATATATCTTGCCTCTGCAGTTACTTTGGCCTCTCAGAATATCCCCAGAAAGTCAAAGCAACTTTAGCCCTTATCTATCTGGTATCCAGTAAGCCAGATGCATGGGAAACTCAAAGCTGCATTAATACATTTGTGTCCCAAGACAGCATTATAAACTATTAATGACATAATTTTTTTCCCTGTATTGTAGGGCTTGAGTGAACAAATGAATTGGCATTAACTAGAACTGCTTCTGATTTGGAGGGATTAAATGGAAGATATGAAACTTGCCAGATGTAATTGTAACTTTGGGAATACTAGACAGAAC